GTGTGTGTGTGTGTGTGTGTGTGTGGTGTGTGGAGGTCACGGTTTCTTTCACGCAGGACCCGTCAGTGCCTCAGGTGTTCAGCACCCCCCACCCCGCGACTTCCCAAGAGGGCCCCGGGGTGCTGCTCAGCCTGAATCCCCCAGGGCCCCTCGCAGCTCCTGCACTGACCAGGACACTGGCGGCCAATGCCATGGCCGTGCCAGGTCCTGGGGTCCCCAGACAGGAGCAGCAGAGGCCAGGAAACTTGACATCAAGGGACACTGCTGGGTCCACCCTCACCCTGACCTCAGTCTGCACCCTAAGAAGCGCCCCACCCCCACCAGGTGCTGGCTCAGGTCAGAGAAGCCTGGGACAGGTGACAACCTCAAGCCAGGCAGGGTGCTGGGCGAGCCTTCAGGCTGGCTGGGCCGTCCCTCCCAGGCCCGCTCAGGAGCCTCGCCCTCTGCCCGCCGTCGGGAGGCCTCCTTAAATCTGGGCGCCTTTAATGTCCTCTCAGGGCGCGACACTGCTTTTCCAGCCGAGCGGCCACGGCCACAGGTCTTCAGCCCTGAGGTCTGCAGGCAGAGGCCGCGTCCTTCAAAACCAAGAGGCTCTCACAGAACTGGCCCTGCTGACCCTGCCCACCAGCTCAGCCTGGACTCCGAACAGGGGAAATGAGCCAGACACGGACGTCCAGTGTCCAGCCACGTGGGAGCCTGCCGAGGGCCTCCTGCCAAGGGCCGGGCATTACCTTCAGGGCGAGCCTTGGGCCTCCTCAGTCCGCCGTCCAGCATCAGCTCAAAGGCGAACGACACGTTGTGGACCTGCCAAGGAAGAATCAGCTCAGGACCGTGGCCACCTGCACGGGGCCTGCCCGTGACCCGCTGACGAGGTGATGGGATCAAGGGTGAGCAGAGGGAGCCTCGACTCAGCTGCAAGGACCCAGGGAGCCCGGGGTAGAGCCCGGGAGGGAGCAGAGAGAAGGGGACACTCCTCCTCACACCAGGGGTCTGGGGCTGGGGACGGGAGGAGGGAGGCACGGGCCTGCTCTCGAGGACTCGTGCCCACGGTGCCTGCCCTGTCCCAGACCCAGACCCACAAGGAGAGGCGGCAGGGATCCCATTTTACAGACGAGGAAACTGAGGCTCAGGGAGGACAAGATCCTTGCAGAGCAGCCAGTCCTGGGCACTGCCCCGCACAGAGCAGCCCCTGCTAACTACCGCAATGGCTGTGAGGAGTGGGCACGCACAGGGTGGCCTGGTCAACTGCAGGACACGGTGCTCTGCAGGCGGCAGCGGCTCAGCCCTGAGCAGGCACCGTGGACCCTGTTGGAACTGAAGTCGGCTGGATGGTGGCTGCAGAGTCGCCTGGCCCAGCGCTGCCCGATGCAGCTGCCCTACCCCGCATGGTTCCTCCTGTGACCACAGGGTCTAGTGCCACTCACTCCGAGGGGCTGGAGGCGCTCCTTCTGCTAGTGACTGCTGGAGAGTCACTAGCAGACCAGGGGCCGCTGGGCTGCGCTTAACGTTCAGGGTCAGCCACATCACACCCAGCACCCACCTGCCGCCAAACCCACAGGCTCCACACAGACCTCAGCAGGGAAGGACCCAGGGCCCTGAGCCACGAACTCCCCGTGATTTCAGTGTAAGTGCAGCAGAAACAGGTGATAATTTTAAAAAATATCTATTTTTAGCAGTAGACGGACACAATATCTTCATTTTTTTAATGTGGTGCTGAGAATTGAACCCAGAGCCTCACATGCTAAGCCACCGCCCCAACCCCAGATAATGATTTTACTGACAGCATCAGTTACTAATTAACTGGGGCCAGGCGCGTGCCACACGCCTGTTATCCCAGAAACTTGGGAGGCTGAGGCAGGAGGATCACGAGTTCAGAGCCAGCCTCAGCAACTTGATGAGGCCCTGAAGAGCTTAGGAAGACCCTGCCTCAAAAAAAAAAATAAAGAGCAAAAAGGGCTGGGGACGTGGCTCGTTGGTTAAGCTGGGTTCAATCCCTGGTGCCAAAAATAAATAAAGGGCTGACCAGGGAAAGGGTGTTTGGCAAAATCACCAAAATCACCCTCAGGGAGTGGCACCCAACTTGGGGTGCCCAGAGAAGCAAAGCACCTGCTGCATGCCAGCCCCGGCCAGGTACGGGGGTGTGGCCAGTGAGATGCGGGCCATGTGCACAGGCTTGCTGAGCGGGATGACCAGAGGCGCTGTCCTGGGAGGCTCCCTGGCCATCCCGGAGGCAGACTGGAACCAGCCGGTGGATACAGGACAGGCCCACGGACCAGGAGGAGGACCTGGGATGGGGGCTGTGCCTCTGGGCCCAAGAGTGGGGTGAGCCCTGGGAGCGGAGAAGGGGCTGGAGCCAGGACGGGCAGCTGGGCAAGGAGAGCGGCCACCCAGCACAGGACCCTGGGCAAGGCAGCGCTCTCCCTCTCACGGAGCGGGCACTGGGCTGAGGCGGGGCGGGACGTCCATGCCAAGAGAGGCGCAGGCTTGAAGAGATGGAGCCTGCACCGAGCACGGCGTCGGCGTCCAGCGCCCATGCCTGTCCTCCGGGGGCCTCTGCCTCTAGCCACCACCAGGGCTCCACGCACGTCCCCACCCACGCCAGCAGCCGCCTCGAGTCACAGTGGAAAGCCCAGGGGGCACCCACCTGGCCACCCCACCCCACCCCACGGAGGGCACAGTCCACGGGGAAGACCCCCCAGGACCCTGCCCGCAGCCCCTCAGCTCGAGGTGGTTGGTTCTGAGGGGGATTCCCTTCTGCGTCCTCCTCGGCCTGAGACAATGCAGAAAGGAGGGGCCACCACGCCAGGCCTGTCACCCCCGTCCTCTGGGTGGACGTGCAGGCAGCTCCTGGGGGGGAGAGCACCCCCGTGACTGTGGCTGCCGTGGGACCCGCCACATGTGGCCACGTCCGGCGGAGGCGCAGCCTTTCTCCCCGCACTTCAGAGGGTCTTAGAAAACCCCCGAGTGCAGCCGGCCCTTCCAGCTCCCCCTGGGCACTCCGCGACCTTGGCGGGGGTCGCCCTGAGACCTGCGCCTCTGGTAGAGTGGACTCATCAGCCGGGCACAGGGGGACGCGCTCTGAAACTGCAAGGCCCTCCCTGGGCCTCCGGGAAGGAATCCCGTCTCCAGATGCCGCGCTGCACGGACGGGAGGTTCTGGGAATCTCTCCCGAGATGGCCGAAGGGCACCAGGGGCTTGGAGTGTGCACAGCCAAAGGCCGCGGCCGTCCCCAGGCACCCCCGGCCTCACGGGGCGCCGCCCACCATGGGGCAGGGCCCTGCTGGGCTGAGCCGCCCCGTCCTGGGGGGGCAGCGCTCGGTGCCTCTCCTGCGCTGCTCTCTGACCCTCTCGGCCCCTCCTCCAGAAAAGGAGGTCCCCAGAGGTCCCCAGAGCCACAACCAAGGTGCCCTGTGGTCTCGGTGCCCAGGACACTGGAGACCATGTCGCCACTGTCACCGAGCAGTGCCTAGCACACAGGTGGCAGAACAGGTGCCTCTGGTGGCTCGGTCCCCACGGGAAAAGCTGCCAGGCCACAGGCAGCTGTCAGACCAGGAGACAGATCGTCGGGGGACATGCCAGCAGTACTTCGGGACCTTCGCCCAGGAGGAGGACGACGGGATGCAGGGACGTGAGGAAAGACCAGAGCCCCAGAGCCCCCACTGAGGAGCCAGCCCTGGGGATCCAGAGCGCAGGCCCCTCCTTCAGGGGACCAGCAGCTCCCCAGAGAGCCCCCAGCCCCCTCCGCACCCCGATTCACAGGTGAGACAGGCTCGGAGCCTCCGGGGCCAGGGCAGTGACGCAGACCTTCATCTGGATCAAGGGGAGGAAGGCTGGGGCCAGGGTGGCGCCTCTGACATCTGTACAAAGCCTCGTCTTGGCCAGACCCGGCTCCAGATCCGCCCAACCAGGGTGTGGCCAGCTGACGAGTCTCAACACAGAAGGGACCTCAGGAGCAAGGCTGAGCGCAGCCTCCTCACCACCTCGCGGCCTCCACTTCCCAGGCTCGCCCGCAGCCTGCGCCCGTCCACCCCCACCCCGGGTCGGCCAGGACACCCCGTGCAGAGCCCGCTCCTCTGCTCTGACTGCACCTCCGCAGGCAGGACCCGGGGACGCTTGGCAGCTGCCCACGCGGGACCGGAGCAGGCGGATGGTCCACGCTGGCCCTGGTTCCCGCCGCTTCTCGGGTGCCACCGCCAGCTCACACAGTCTGCCTCCCCGACTCACGGGTCTGGCACTTTTGAGAAAATAAAGTGACAGACGCTGTGAGCCACGGCGCCCCAGCCCATCCGTGGCCAAGTGTCTACAGCAAGGCACTCGGGCTGCCGTGACGGGCTGGGCTGGGGGAGCCCACAAGGACAAGCCAGCGGGGGGCATGGGCACCCCACCCAGGGCAGCCCCAAGAATCCTACTGGGAATGTTTTCCTAAGCAAACAGCCACAGAATAATTACAGACGCACAGGTTTCGCACCTGCAGCTAAACCAAGTACTGACCGGGACCTCTGGGCAGAGTGACGTCCCCCTGGGCACCGCAGGGCCACTATCTCCCTGGCGCTCACTTTGCAGCGGGTGTGAGGGGTGATCTGAGCACACCGTGGGCTGTGGGTGGGTTCTGTGCAAATCCTCCGCCATTTACATAAAGGACAAAAGCGTGGTGGACACTGGTGTCCTCGTGGGTCCTGGCACCCACCTCCTAAGGACAGAGGGATGTCGGCATCTATTCAAGAAGCTGCCCGATCGTTTAGTAGGAAAAACATTGGGAATATGTTGCTGCCCAAGAATGGGGAAGGGAGATGCTGGCCACAGAGCTGCCCAGAGGACACTGGGGACACTCACAAAGAGCAGGAAAACCCGAGGGACGTGTGGCAGGATCTGACCCTGGATCTCAAGTACCAGAGCCACAGAAAGCCACGCAAAGGACCCCAAAGGGGAGGTGGAGGACAAACTGTGGTGCCTCGCAGGCTACGATGGCTTCTCAGTCCTTCTGCCGGGAGCCGCGTCCACCCCAACCCCGGCTTCCATCTGCGGAGAGTGCTCAGGGTTCCCGTCAGCAGGCACGTCCTGGGCCACCAAGGAGGGGACCGCACACGTACCTTCTGGTCGAAGCTCTCCGGGGTCAGGTAGAAGTTGTGGAGGGGGACAAAGTAGTCCTCGAGAAGACCCATGAGCAGGACCAGGTAAACGCCATCTGCAAACTGCAGGGGGGTCTTGGTGACATTCCCAGCAAACACTTTAACAAGCTCAAGGGACGAGAAACGTTCACAGTGAAATGATCTGGATCATCCAGCCTCACCTCACCCGGGCAGCAGGTCCGGAACCAAGGCTCGGACAGGACAAAGCTCCCACCCCAGGTCCTGACCCCCAGAGTGGGGAGAGACGGGGAGAAAGAGACGGGGGGGGGACACACAGACACACGCAGAGACACAGACATACACGCATACACGCACAGACACAGACATACATGCACACACGCACAGACACACGCACAGACACACGCACAGACACACGCACAGACACAGACATACATGCATACACGTGCAGACACACACACAGACACACGCACAGACACAGACACAGACATACACGCACACACACAGACACACACACGCACAGACACACGCACAGACACGCACAGACACAGACATACATGCACACACACGCACACACAAACACACACACCTGCACACACGCACACACACAGACACACACAGACACACACACTCACACACACAGAGAGACACATACATACACAGACACACACGCACACACGCGCTCACACACACACGTCAGGACCAGGTGCCTGGAGGCCAGTGTCTGGGGTCAGGGGCAGCAGCCTGGCTGAGGCCATGAGTCTGAAACTGTCCCTGTTACTGACCCTGGGTCTCAGGGGAGGGCCAGCAGGGATGGGCAGGGCCCCCAGCAAGAGCAAGCCCCCCATCGGCGTCTACAGGGTGCGGGTGCAGGGCAGACGGGCCACCCGGTGCGCTGGCTCTCCCTGTGGCCACCACTAAGCACCAGCTGCACCCACGGCTGGGACAATCCCCCCCGGGGCCCCTGGAGATGCCGGCCTTTGTGGCACCCCGCATCCAGAGCCCCTTCCTGCTGGGCCCTAAACGGCCTGCACCCACCCCCAGAGCAGGTGATGCTGGGCGTGGGAGGGCGGGCAAGGGGCAGCAGGACCAGCCACCTTTTGAAAATGGCCTCTGAGGAGCCAAGGCCTGCCTGAGGCTGCCGCAGCTCCCCACAGACACCCAGTGGAGGCCTGCCCTGGCCCACGGCAGGGGACATGCCACTAAGAAACGGAAAGTGAGAAGCTGCTGTTTACAGGGGACAGTCCTTTGGGGTCACGGCGCTGGCCGGGCCCTGGACTCAGCTGCCGGCTGCTCCGTGGGTGACACGCTGCCTCCTTTACAGGCGACGTGACGTTGGAAACTGCGGGAAGGAGGACGGATGTGCACTGAAGCGCAGAGTCCAAGCCTGAGGCACCCTGGCTTCTGGTGCTAGGTGCTGGCCCATCTGAGAAGTGACAGGCTGGGGACGTCAGTCAGGACGTGGGGGCAGCCCCCATACCGCCACTTGGCCCTGGCGCCTGCCTTTCTCTGAGTCAATCAGGGAAACGGAGGAGGGTACAAATGGCTGGACAGAGGCACTCGTGTCCCAGGAGCAAGACCAGGGAGACCAGCGTCACCAGGGGCTGGCTGAGTGGGGGACAACTCAGAGCAAGAAAATGTAGGTCCCCAGGTGGACGGGACAAGAGGAAAGGCCAGGCAGAGACACGCTCTTCTGTCTTATAAGGAGGACGCAGCTGATGTATTTAGGGACCGAAACAGGACAGAGCAGCTGATGGGAGACCCCGTCACCTGAGAAAATGCGCCTGTGAACTCAGCACCTAGACAGGCACGTCCCGCCACGCAGACCGCGCAGACCGCCAGGCAGGGGCCGCGTTAGCAAATTGCCAGAAATAATGGATGCATTTTCAAATGATGAGCAAATATGTGCTTTGGAAAAGGGACCAGGGGACTTCCCGGTGCAGACTGGGCTGCCGCTCAGCCCCCGCGGGTAGGGGAGGGCGCCACGGAGCCCTGGGCGCAGGATTGGGGATGGTTTCCATTTGTTTTGCTTATCTGCGCTTTCAGGCATTTCTACAATGAACCTGAATTACTTTTTTAATTAGAAAAGCAAATGAGAGAAGTCTAAGGAGGAGAAAGGGGTGGGGGAAATCGCCCAGGGGCTGAAGAAGGATCAGCTGGGCATTAGAGGCGCCTGTGCCAACAGCTCCCAAGGCCCCAGACTAATCCGGGGAGCCCGCGTCCTGCCTGCCAAGGCTGAGGACCTATTTTCACGGTGCCACTTTATCTTGGGGCGGGAGGTGTGCATTCTATTGCAGAAGAAATATTTTATCCACATCCACTGGAGGGGAATTAGTCAGCATTCACCAGGTGCAGGTCACAGGGCCACAGGTGACAGCAGCGGCCTCCACCGCAGGACATTAGACCCGAGGGACATGCACGTGCAAAGGCCCGTGACAGCGTGGGGCAGCCTCGGAGGGTGTGGAGAGTTGGACCCTCTCCCAGAACAGACATGTGGGAGTTCTAGTCCCTGGGCCTGTGAACGTGACCTTATTTGGAAACAGGGTCCCGGCAGAGGTCACGAGGTTGACGTGAAGTCACCAGGGTGGGCGCCAGGGCAACATGACTGCGTCCTCATGAAAGGGCAAGATCAGGCCCAGAGACGGCCATGGACGCAGATCGGGGCCCTGTGTCCACAGCCCAGGAGCACCCAGGGGCTCCCGCCTGCTCATCCCCGCCCCACCCGGCCCGGGCCGAGCCCCGCCCACCCGGGGGCCGAGCCCCGCCCACCGGGGCCGAGCCCCGCCCACCCGGGGATCCGAGCCCCGCCTACCTGGGTCTCCAGCTCTGTCACCTCCAGGTTCAGCTTGTTCAGCTGCTTGTTCACAAAAGTGATGAGCGACTGCAAGGCAGAGGAGAGGGGACGTCGGGGACAGCACTGGCCCTGTGGGGTGTCCAGTACCCACTGCCACCCTGGGCTCAGTGACAAAGCCCCGTGCCAGACACGGGGCGCGTGTGGCCCGCTGAGGCTGGTGGCCTGGGGAGGAGCCCGTCAGGGGGCAGGGTCCCTGGTTCCCTGCAGGCCACTCCCACTGCGGGCCTGAGAAGGGCAGTTGGAAGCAGGAGTCAGAGGGAGTCCACCAGATTGTGCTGGTGCCTGGCTGGTGGCCCTGCTGACCCCACCTACTGAAAGGAGCAAGGTGACCATGGGCCACATGTTCCACACAGTGACCACCCTGAGTCACACCGAGGTGGCCCAGGTCACCGTCACGGTGCCCCTGAGGACGGCAATGCCTCTGGCCCCACCAGGCAGGCGGGAAACTGAGGCTGGGTCCACATAACCTGCCTCAGGACACAGCCTGGAGGCGAGGGCCTGCTAGAACCTTCCTCCCTCACTGTCCACCCATCTGCTCTGTCCCTGGGCCAGATGTGGCTGGGGTGGGGCAGGGCGGGGGGTCCCAGGTCCTGAGGAAGCTAGGAAGGCTCCGTCTGGGAGGACCGTGGGCGATTCCACAGCCTGTTGTCACGTTTCCAGGACATAAAGATGTCACTGAGCCTGGACTGGCACTTCCCAAGAGTGGGCTCCACAGGACTGTAAGACGTCCTGCCCCCAATGAAGATGCATAAACCTCACATCCAGACCCACTCGGGAAGCCCGTCCACCCCATTCCTCCTTGGAGAGTTGCAATGCCAGGTGGCACATTAAAGGCTCTGACAAGTCCTGCACTGAGAAATCCATCGGGGCAGCTGACCTGACCAGAGAGCTCCCTCCCGGGCACCGCCCACAGCTGCCTCCCCAGTGGGGCGTCCCCAGGCCCTTGGCCAGGGGCCCCAATCCCTTCTGGAGGCGCAGCGCCCTAGCAGATCCCCACAGCCTCGCTGGACCTTCCCATCCACGGCCTGGCCAACAGGATGCCTGGGTGGGGAGGCCCGGCCCTCAGCTCCCGCCTGGGGACAAAGAGGCTGATGGCTGTGAATGTGGCTTTGCAGTCAGGAGGCCAGTGACACTGCCGTGGCGGCTTGACAGCTCTCCACACTGAGAAAAGCCCTGGGGTCGGTGGGAAGAGCCTCCAGGCACTGCCCGGAGGCTGGCGGGAGGGCGGGAGCTGCCCCCGCAGGGAGCCACCGCGGAGCTGAGGGGTGCTGGCTTTGCGCACTGTGATTCTGCTCCAGTCCCGTGGCCACGTTTCAGGGCACGCTCTGCCCAGCAGGCGTCCAGACAGGGGTCAGGGAGCGGGGGGACCGGCTCACCTTCTTCACCAAGTTGAGCTTGTCCGGTGCGTGATCGAAGAGCGTGTCGAAGGCGTCTCGCTCTGCAAGACAGGCCAGGAGGGGACGGCAGAGGGGCTGATGGAGGCCACTCGTGCCCTGATGGCCGGTCCCCCCAGAGTCTAATTCCTGCCAGAACTGAAGGGGGCGCCCCCGAGGAGGCCGGGAGCCCCGGCACCAGGCGCGCGCGCACAGGAGGCCTCCAAGGTGCTGTTCAACAGGGCGGGAAGCTCTCCACGGGCCACAGGATGGCACTGGGACAGCTGCCCGGCCACTCCTGTCACTCGAGCCGTCCCCAACTCTCCCTCTCCACGTCCCGTGTCTTCCTGTGAACTGCAGATCCAGTCACCTCTGCCTCCCCAAAGCAGCTGTGCCCACACACAGGCTGCCCGCACCCTGGGGTCCTGCAGCCTCCTGCCCAGCGGGCCTCCTGCTCAGTGGGCCTCTGGCTTTTCCCCATCCTCCCCTTTAAAGCGCAACTGAATCCTTCCTTATCCTCCCGCCCAAACCACTGAGCCCAGCTCCTCACCCTGCTTAGAATAGAGGCCCTTCTCCCTCCAGTGGGCCAAGGGGTGGATCAGGCACCCTCCACACTCAGGCCCCTGACTTCATTCCACCCACCGGCCTCTGACTGCTCCTGCAACAAGCTACAGGCACAGCCTGCCCCGGGGCCTTTGCACCTGCCCTATGGCTGCCTCACTGCCTGGCACCCCTCGGCACCTCTGAGGGGCTCCCAGCCTCCACCAGCTGTCCTTTCACTGAGAGGCACTTCTGTGCTGGACCATCCACTCCCCACGCCTGGGACCGTGGATGCCTGTCCCCTGCACTGGCTGGCTCCTGCTCGGGGAAGGGCGGGCCCCAGCGTGCAGAGGGCCAAGGAACTGAGACACTGCGGCTCCCGACAGCCTCCCGGGGAGTCTGCGTCCACAGGGACAGCTTCAGGGACGGGTGGGTGGCTCAGGCCCCCTGCAGTGCCCGCCCACCCTCCTCCTCCCAGGAGGGCCCCTCGCTGCTCCGACCTCCACCTGGGTGGCCCCTGACGGCTGAGCACGTGGGAGGGCACAGGGCTGGCTGGCTGACCCCTGAGGGGGGCACGGGGACAGGAGCACAGAGCTGCGGGGACGGCCGCTGGCAGAAGGGACCAGCAGGAGAGAGAGCGTGTGGAAGGGACCTGGGGCCTCCGGCTTCGCCTCGGGGTCTCTGGGGCAGGCGGTGCTCAGGACGAGGACAGCAGAGGCCTGAACCCTCCCGGGGGTGGCCAGGCCAGCCTCTGTGTCACCCCCAACCTGTCACAGGACAGTGAAGGAGGGAGGAGCCGCCAGGCCACTGCTGGAGGGAGCAGCTGCCTCCTCCCCCCGCCAGGCCCGAAGGGAAGGAGCTGGACACCCAAGGGCCAGGGACAGGAGGTGGTGGACCCTGCAGCCGGCCTGCCCAGCCCAGAGCTCCTGGGGCCCAGGAGCCTGCACATGCGCCTGGGCGGGGGCAGAAGCCTCCTGCATCCAGAGCCTGGACGGCCCTCCCGCCGGCCTCCCAGCCTCAGCCTCCACCGCAGCAGATGTGAACGACTTTACCGCCATCAAAGTCAGGTTGTCCCCAATGAGACAATCTGTCAAGGGCACAAAAAGGGCTCAACGTCACCAGGCAAGACCCAGCTTTAGTCGCTCTTACGGAGGCCCCGGGAGCAGAGCGCTTGACGTCAGCCGGTATATTTAGCCAGGCCACTGCTGGGCTGGCGGAGTCAGGCCACACGGGAGGCCGCCGGGCAGGAGGGGACGCCCACGCTGGCTGCCGCTCAGCTGCACCAGGGTCTGGAGGGCTCTGAAGGGGGACAGTGGGGACCCAGCACACATCTGTGCGCCCGAGGGGATAAAGGTGGGTCCGGGCTCGGATCCCAGCTTCAAGGCAGGCTTCGAGGTGAACGGCCTCCTCCCCAAGCGCACTTCCTGCTCTGAAAGCAGTGGGCACAGTCCCTGCCCACTGCAGTCCAGGAAGAGGAGGCGGGAGTGCAGGAAAGCCCAGTCCAGGAGGTCAGGGCTGGCCTCTGTCCCTTGGTGCTCCCTGAGGGCGAGGGAGTCCTGCAGTTTGAGGGGGCTTTCTGGACAAGAGGAGGGAGGGCGGCGCTCCAGGTGGAGGAACAGCACATGGAACAGAGGGCGAGGAAGCCCAGAGTCAGGCCAAGAGTAGGGGGCGGGCGTGAGCAAGCTGGCGGGGGCAGCCGGGCGCCATGGGGGCAGCGGGGCTGGGCAGTGCCGTGGCGTCAGGCTACAGTTTCAGAACCAGCTCTGCTGGCCGGAACGGGGAGGCCAGGAGGGGCGAGGTCAGGCTGTAAGGAGGAGGAGAGGTGAAGGGAGCACACGGTGTCCCTGTCCTCACGCAGCCTGGGAAGGGCCCGGTGCTGGGGCGGGGGTGGCTGTCAGCGAGAAGAGGCACAGCCAGGCGTCGCCATGGAGACCAGACTACAACCTCGGCTCCCTGGAGAGCGCTTCCACCCAGAGAAAAGCCTGCTCCCCACCTCTGCAGGACCCTGGGGACAGAGAGGCAGGAGCGGGCTCCTGGCCAAGCCCAGCAGCAGTGTCACCAGGGGCCACCTGGTGCCCTGGGAGCTCCCAGAGTGTCTAGGAGCTGCTGCGGGCACACGGGCACTAGGTGGGGGCTGGGGTGCCGCCCTGGGCCGTCCAGCCCGCAGGACGCCTGCAGTTCAAGGAGCCCTGAGCAAGGAGGAGGGGCAGGAGCCCCCAGGCCCACCCGGTCTGCCAGGCACGAGGAGGCCGGCGGGTGTAGACACTGACACGGGCAAGAGCTACACACTCCCTGTGCAGAGCTCTCGGCCAATAGGTGAGGCGGGTGGGAGCAGCCGCTGTCACTGGGGTAAGTGACATCGGAGCCAGGAGCTGACGGGACGAGCATGGAGCCACCCTGAGGGGGCAGGAGGCCTGAGCAGGAGGCCTGGGGCCTCAGGAGGAGCCTCCACACGGGAGCAGGGCCTGGAGGCCAGAGGGGAGGTGTGCAAAGGGTGCTCAGAGAGACCCTCGGGCCACTGAGGGGCCTCGCAGGCAGGGATGCACTAGGGAGGCCGAGGGCCCCCAAAATGCATGGTGCAAAGAACCCGGCAGCTGCGAGGGGCAAGTGGGGAGGCCACGGCGCCGGAGGACGCAGCGTGTGTGGTCAGACCCGGGCAGCGGGGCTGAAGGGGGCCGCGGGGCCGAAGGGGGCCGCGGGAGGTGCTCCCCGGCCTGCCCCCCCCCCAGGCCCGGGGGACCAGGAGCTTGCTGTCTGCGTCAGCAGGAGCCCAGGCCGGGGGACGAGTCTCCTGTCACCCACTAATAGCCCCGTGGGGCGCTCAGAGCTGAGCGGGCACAGCCCTCGGGCCTCTGGTGGCCTCGGGCTCCCCTCAGAGGCCAGGCCGTGCCCCATGCCCGCCCACTCCCGGGCCCCCACCAAGCTGATGCTCCGTGACCCCCACAGCCGAGTCCACGGGCCGCAGAGGACACCAGGGCCTGGGCCCCTCTGCTGGTGTCACCCAGGGTCTGAGCTGCTCTGAGCAGGAAGGGGCAGGGTGCCCGGCGGGTACTCTGGGGCGGCCCACGCCGGCCCTGGGCTGCCCTCCTGCAGCCTCTCCCTCAGTGACGTGACCCGCCTCCCCCCTCCTCCTTTGTTTGTTTCTTAATAAGAACGACATGAAAAAGGGTGGTGAGTCCCCACAGCCTGAGGTCTCCTGAGGGAGCCCAGGGGACAGTGTGCGGCCTCCTCTGGAATCCCAGGCCTTGGGGAAGTCACAGGACGTGGCGCTGGCTCGTCCCCAGAACAGCCTCGGGGCTGGGCTTCAGGGCATCCTACCCAGGACCCAGTGACCGCACCAGGGCCAGCGGGGCGGGGCCTTCTCCTCCTGATGTGCCGCCCTCCCCACCCGCTGGACAGCAGGCCCTGGGCCAGTGCTCCTGGTTTGAAAAGTCCCCCAAGGGGGCTCTGTCCAGGAGGCCAGCCGGGCTGCCCACCCTCGGGGGTTCAAACACCAACACACGGGGCTGGTCCCTGTGCCGCCACCCCTCGTTGGTGATGGGTCCCAGGCTTCAGTGGGGGGTGGGCAAGTGGTCAGCACCCTCTTTGGGACACCCCTGAAAACTTGCAGGAAATCCGGCTGCAGGGGAGCAGGGCCCTCACTCCTGTCCCTCGGTCCCCTGTCCCTTTACCCCCATTGCTGGGGAGGGACACGGATGAAGGGGCAGCGAAAGGTCACCAGTGGGAACGAGAGCTTGGTGGCCTGACCCTGGGAGGGCTGTTAGACCAGAGACGGAGAGAAGCCCACCCCACCAGGCCCCTCCTCCCTCCCAGAGCCACCCAGTCACCCGCAGTCACACAGGCAGTCCCCTCCCCCCTCCACCCTGCCCC